TAATCTGGATTCCCACCAGAGTGCTCCTTCCCCTATTCGCCCAGGGGGTGTAGGTGTACTCACTTAGATCATCTCCTGTACTGCTTGTGGGTTGGCTGCTGCTACCAGTCCTAGCAGCTGGGCTGCTCTATCCCTGCCATAGAGGTGGTCCTCGCTCAGGGGGCCAGTGAGTCCCGAGTTTTCCTGATCTTCAGCTCCAAGCTCACAGGCAGGCCCCATCCCTCTAGGACAGCGGTTCTCAACCTGGGGGTCGAACGACGCTTCCACAGGGGTCGCCTAAGACCATCGGAAAACACATATTTCCGATGGTCTTAGGAACCGAGACACCGCTCCTCGCCGCCGCCGTCTCCAGGTGTGGGCGGGATGACATGCCGCCCCTGTCATCTGGACACACCTCGAGATCAATCCTTGCCTGTGATTGGCCGCCGGCACTGTAGCTCAGGAGAGGCACACAGGCGGCCAATCACTGGCAAGGAGGTGGAGCTTGGAGAGGAGGAGCCGAGCGGCACCGCGAAGATGGAGCGAGTGAAGAGGAGGAGAGCGGCCGGAGAAGGAAGACAGCTGACAGGTAAGTGTGTACCATGGGAGAGGGAGGGAGCGAGCGAGCCCAGGCTGGAGCAGGGGTCAGCAAGGTAAGTATCATTGGTGTCAGTGGGAATAGTGCCCATCATTGGTGTCACTAATACCAATAATGGGGCACTATTCCTCCCACTGACACCAACGATGGGGCACTATTCCTCCCACTAACACCAACGATGGGGCACTATTCCTCCCCCAAGTGACACCAACGATGGGGCACTATTCCTCCCCCACTGACACCAAGGATGGGGCACGATTCCTCCCCCCACTGACACCAAGGATGGGGCACGATTCCTCCCCCACTGACACCAAGGATGGGGCACGATTCCTCCCCCCACTGACACCAAGGATGGGGCACGATTCCTCCCCCACTGACACCAAGGATGGGGCAGTATTCCTTCCCCCACTGACACCAAGGATGGGGCAGTATTCCTCCCCCCACTGACACCAAGGATGGGGCAGTATTCCTCCCCCCACTGACACCAAGGATGGGGCAGTATTCCTCCCCCACTGACACCAAGGATGGGGCAGTATTCCTCCCCCCACTGACACCAAGGATGGGGCAGTATTCCTCCCCCCACTGACACCAAGGATGGGGCAGTATTCCTCCCCCCACTGACACCAAGGATGGGGCAGTATTCCTCCCCCCACTGACACCAAGGATGGGGCAGTATTCCTCCCCCCACTGACACCAAGGATGGGGCAGTATTCCTCCCCCCACTGACACCAAGGATGGGGCAGTATTCCTCCCCCCACTGACACCAAGGATGGGGGCAGTATTCCTCCCCCCACTGACACCAAGGATGGGGCACTATTCCTCCCCCCACTGACACCAAGGATGGGACACTATTCCTCCCACTGATACCAATGATGGAGCACTATTCCTTCCACTGACACCAATGATGAGGCACTATTCCTCCTACTGACACCAATGATGAGGCACTATTCCTCCCACTGATACCAATGATGGGACACTATTCCTCCCACTGATACCAATGATGGGGCACTATTCCTCCCACTGATACCAATGATGGGGCACTATTCCTCCCACTGACACCAATGATGGGGCACTATTCCTCCCACTGACACAATGATGGGGCACTATTCCTCCCACTGACACCAATGATGGGGCACTATTTCCTCCCACTGACACCAATGATGGGGCACTATTCCTCCCACTGACACCAATGATGGGGCACTATTCCTCCCACTGATACCAATGATGGGACACTATTCCTCCACCGACACCAATGATGGGGCACTATTCCTCCCACCGACACCAATGATGGGGCACTATTCCTCCCACAGATACCAATGATGGGGCAATATTCCTCCCATTGATACGATGATGGGACACTATTCCTCCTCCCACAGACACCTATGATGGGGCACTATTCCTCCCACTGATACCAATGATGGAGCACTATTCCTTCCACTGACACCAATGATGAGGCACTATTCCTCCTACTGACACCAATGATGAGGCACTATTCCTCCCACTGATACCAATGATGGGGCACTATTCCTCCCACTGACACCAATGATGAGGCACTATTCCTCCCACTGATACCAATGATGGGGCACTATTCCTCCCACTGATACCAATGATGGGACACTATTCCTCCCACTGATACCAATGATGGGACACTATTCCTCCCACTGATACCAATGATGGGGCTCTATTCCTCCCACTGACACCAATGATGGGGCACTATTCCTCCCACTGATACCAATGATGGAGCACTATTCCTCCCACTGACACCAATGATGGGACACTATTCCTCCCACTGACACCAATGATGGGGCACTATTCCTCCCACTGATACCAATGATGGGACACTATTCCTCCCACTGACACCAATGATGGGGCACTATTCCTCCCACTGACACCAATGACGGGGCTCTATTCCTCCCACTGACACCAATGACGAGGCACTATTCCTCCCACTGACACCAATGACGGGGCACTGTTCCTCCCACTGATACCAATGACGAGGCACTATTCCTCCCACTGACACCAATGACGGGGCACTATTCCTCCCACTGACACCAATGACGGGGCACTATTCCTCCCACTGACACCAATGACGGGGCACTATTCCTCCCACTGACACCAATGACGGGGCACTATTCCTCCCACTGACACCAATGACGGGGCACTATTCCTCCCACTGACACCAATGACGGGGCACTATTCCTCCCACTGATACCAATGACGGGGCACTATTCCTCCTACTGCAAAATTACAGTTATGAAGTAGCAACGAAAATAATTTTATGGTTGGGGGTCACCACAACATGAGGAACTGTATTAAGGGGTCGCGGTGTTAGAAAGGTTGAGAACCACTGCTCTAGGACTCTTGGTAGCCTTCCTCCTCCAGCCTCACATTTTCCTCCAGCTCTCTACACCTCTCCCACCACCATACTCCTACCACTGTGAAGGCTCTACCACTTTTAACCACCTCCTGCCTGCCATATAAGGAAATGATGGGCAGGCGGCGGCTCTCTAATTCTGGGAGGACATCATATGACATCCTCCCAATCTAACTGCGCATTTGTGCTCCCGGGGGGAGAGCGGTGCGGCAATCGGTGGTGCGCTGTGTCCCTGGGACACAGAGGATCACCAATCACAGTAAAGAGTCGATGACACAGGCTCTGTCATGTGATTAGTTGTGTCCAATCACCGCTGATCGCATGTAAACAGGAAATGTTGGTTATCGGCAGTCCTCTCCTCACGATGACAGCGCGTGAGGAGAGGAGAGCCAGTAAGCGGCATTCCTCAGAGGGGACATCTACACTGATTATCAGGGCACTGATGATTAGTGCCCTGATGATCAGTGTAGCCCCATCAGTGCCACCTGCCAGTGCCCATCAATGCTGCCTGTCAGTGCCCATCAATGCCACCCATCAGAGCTGCCTTTTAGTGCCAACTATCAGTGCCAGTCAGTGCTGCCTATCCGTGCCCATCAGTACTGCCTAACATTTCCATTCAGTGCTGTCTAAAAGTTCCAATCAGTGCCGCCTATCAGTGCCAGTCAGTGCCACCTAGCAGTGCCGCCTACCAGTGCCCATCAGTGCCGCTTATCAGTGCCATATATGAGTGCTGCCTTTCAGTGCCCAACAGTGATTCCTCTCTATGCCCAGCAGTGATGCTTGTCAATACCTATCAGTGCCTCCTCATCAATGCTGCCTATCAGTGCCCAACAGTGCTGTATATCAGTGCCCATCAGTGCAGCCTCATTAGTGCACATCAGTGAAGGAGAAAAATTACTTATTCACAAAATTGTATAATAGAAACTAAGAAAAAACTTTATTTTTTCAACATTTTCAGTCTTTTTTAGTTTGTTTAGCAAAAAATAAAAAAAAATAAAAAAAAACCCAGTGGTGATTAAATACCACCAAAAGAAAGCTCTATCTGTATGAAGACTTTTATATTCTTTGAATATAAGATTTGCTTTTAGACATATGTCAATAATTCAGTTGTAAATTCCTCTGCTCAACTGTTAAATAAAGACTAAAAAAACCTATCTATATGTCTATTTCCACCATGTGTTAAAGATTATCTAAAGTATAGCCAAAGAAAACTTAATTTTTTTTGCTTAGATCTCAATTGTCGCCAAGACAGAAAGTAATGGGAGGCACAAGATTTTACAACTGTTACCAGAGCAAGAATAGAGGGGAAATCCTCTAATGGGGAGATCTATTCCAATGACTAAAGCTGGCCATAGATGGATCAAAATTCAGATCTAGCTGAATTTTGATCCATGGATGGAGGAATTTATTTGCTTTTTTCTGCTGGCTGAACAAATCATCAGTGGCCCAATTTATAGGGCATTTCCCCTCAATTTATTTACTACAGGTACTTATATAGCACCATCAATTTATATACAGTATACATATATATTGTACATTCACATCAGTCCTGAACCCTCAAGGGTTGTACAATCTAAGGTCCCTAACTTTCATTCATACATACATATACTAGGGTCAATTTAGACAGGAACCAATTAACCTACCAGCATGTCATTGGAGTGTGGGAGGAAACCAGAGTACCTGGAGGAAACTCACAGAGAACATCCAAACTCCAGGCAGGTGGTGCCATGGTTGGGATTCAAACTGGCAATACTAGTACTGGCAGGCAGAACTGATAACCATTTAGCCACTGTGTTTATTTAGAGAGATTGCCTTCCACTTCATGTGGTGTATCCATGACAGAATGTGAGGGGGGGAGATCTTCCCAAGGGAGAACACACAAAAAATAATAATGACAAGGTACTATACCAAATAATCTAGAATGAAAAATAGGTTTGCTTCTACATATACTTCAAGCTGTTTAGATGACATGGTCTGTCTAATGTGTAGATGTCATTCAATAACATTGTGGTAAAGCACGAATAAAAATCCTTTTCCTTACCCTGTTCCTGTAAGTTCTGTGTTTGGAGCATATTTGTCAGTATTGCAGACCTCGTGACGCACATCACAGTTAGCTTCATCTGAGCTATCTTGTTCACAGTCATGATCTCCGTTGCACACCAGAGTCTGGCTAATGCACTGACCTTAAAGCCAATAAATATTACATGACATATTACATAAATTATTATAGAATCCTCAAATTCTTATTCCCGTCACACCACTAAGTATCTCCGCTATTCCCCAATTCATTTAGCAAAAGTCATCCTCAAAAAAAAAAAAAAAAAAATGAAAGTGGACCTCAACTAAATAAGTGAAAAAATGCTGTTTTATAAGGACCATCTAAAATGTTATTTGCGCATAAACAGTACCCTGAAAGATTTACCATTTGTCTTGAATTTCTCCTGAAAAAGGCAGTGCACTTGCTGTGCCTTAACACATTGATGACGACCGTATGCAAATATGCAGCCTCTCGGCGGCTGGGCCTTGACGTTGAGCGGCCGCATATTTGCGTACCATTTGAAAACACATATGTGCTGAGAGTGCACGCCCTGCGCGCTCCCAGCACATATGTCAGTGTCTCACGGGAAGGTCGTGATCTCCCCTTGAGATCGGGACCTTTTCTGATCATGTGACCACATGAATGACCCTAAAACCCCGCCCCGCCTCCCGACGTCTGAAACCCCTTAAAGGGCCGGGAGGCACCGGCGTGCAGAGGTTAAAGAGTAACTCTACTTTTACTGAGAGAAAACAATCCCCTCTGGGTGACCAATGTGTATTGCAAGGATTGTAACTGACTTTGTTGCCGATTCCTATCTTTTGTTATTCTATTTGTTTGTCTGTGTCCATGAGTGAATCTGTATGGGAGTGATTTTATAATTATCAATCACCTGCAGGGCACTAATGAGGAAATTGGAAGGGTCTGCATCCCTTTAGATGTGATTTCCCTCTGGGAGTGTCTCATCAAAAATGACATTTTTGTTGCAGGGAATGCCAAAAATGTGACTTGTATCTTATGCAGGCCATACATGGGTCGAATTCCAAACAAATTTTCTTTCAAAAATCATAACTAAGAATTTTCATTCAAATTTTGCAACATTAGTGGGCCACAGCATCGGTCGATTTTCATGCAACCATCTAATTTGAGTGTTCGGGAATATTGGAAATTTTTGGAAAAACAAAGAATTTCTAATCAATATGGGAGAATTGTGCAAAAAATATCATCGAAAAAGAAATGAGCATGAGCTGTGACCTGGAAAGAAAAGAACATTGCCATATATGAAAATTCTTTTTCTTTGCAACATGCAGAAATTGAAGGCATGGTTGGTCGAATTTCAAAATCATTGGTGGTACTATCGGATTAAAAAACGCACAAAATTTCCAATTTTCTAAAGAAAATTGGTTCAGAATTTGAATATGGCCTGCATAAGTGCAGACTTCTGGGAAAATCGGTCAGTCAATCAAACAAGCAAAAAACAATATTTTCAGGGGGCGTTCTGTACACCGTCTGTGTACAGAACACCTCTAGGTAGCCATATTGTATTGCATTTTATAGAAAATCACAGCACTGTAAATTGAAAAGTAAAGGTAATTTTTAAAAACATTCCATTACGATATGACTTTATGTATACGCTATATTTTTTTTATTTGCTATTTTTATTCCACAAAATTGGAGTTACCCTTCAAGTCTCATAACTGCATATGCTGTATATGTGCAGTATTAGATCATCTAAGCCAATGCTGCCTCTGACTGCTAACATCACCAGATTTAAGGTGGTGAGCAGCAATATTTAAGGACTGGTAAGCTGCGATATTACACATTTTTATCTTTAGGTTTATAAAACAAGCTCAGGGTGGAGCCCCCAGTCCAAAGTTCAGTCCCTACTAGAACTGCTAGAGAAATTGCTGTGAAGCCGAAGCAGGAATCCAGGCAAGCCACGGGGAGATGCCATAGGAGACTCAATGAGGTTGATTTACTAAAACAGGTGCGCTCAGAATCTGGTCCAGCTGTGCAGGGTAGCCAATCATCTTCTAACTTCAGCTTGTTCAATTAAGCTTTGGCAATAAAACCTGGAAGCTGATTGGTTTCTATGCAGAGCTGCACCAGCTTTTGCACTCTCCAGTTTTAGTAAATAAACCCCAATCTGTCAAAGGAGCTGTCAGATGTCCAGGATGCTGTGGCCAATCAGAAGGCATTTTAGTGTCTAAACCACACCTCCTTCATCTCATCGGCCTTCTGATTGGCCACAGCGTCCAGGACATCTGACAACTCCTTTCACAGATTGAGTCTCCTGCAGCATCTCCCCGCGGCTTGCCTGAATTCCTGGTTCAGCTCCACGGTACTTTCTCCAGTGGTTCTAGAGGGGACTGAACTTTGGACTGGGAGCACCACCCTGAGCTTGTTTTATGCGTGTCACCAGGGATTTCTGTGAGAGGAATACTGTCTCATTTTAACCCTTTTATTGAATAAACATTGCTACACTATTGGCGGCTTGACACCTCTGTCTTCCCCTCCCTCTCCTCTCTTGCAGTGCAGGAAACTGCATGTGATTCAGACAGGAATTGCATCGCATTCCTGTTCAATTCACATGCGATTCTTTTCAGTGAGATTTCAGCCCATTCATAGTTACATAGTTAGTCTGGCTGAAAAAAGACAAAAGTCCATCTAGTTCAACCATTAAAAAAAAAAAAAGTTGCTACATGCTGGAGATGTGTGGAGGGTGTGGGTACATTGTCTCATATTTACTGGTTTTGCCCACAGATTGTGGGATACTGGTTACAGTTCAGAAGGATCAAAGACGAATTCTCCTGCGCTCTAGGACTAGGACAGGTGGCGAATAGATGGAACCAGGCCTGGAGAAATCGTCCACCAATGCATAAAGGGCTGTGCGGCTCCAAAACGAGGCTGGGGAAGCCCGATCAATACTGCAGAATGAAATTAAAACGAGAAGCGCACCAACCTTGCGCATTACCTCAGTAACCAAAATTTATTAATTGTAAAAAATATACTCACAAACAGCGAATGAAATCAGGCACGTAAGTCCTCACAGGGACTTGAAGATAGCGCGAGTCCCATCAAGGGAATGGGTGTTCAGTATAGCTGAAGCGTTTCGAAGGGGGTCCCTTCTTCATCAGAGCTAACTGAACTGTGAGTGCTCTCTCCTATATATGCTCCTGGACTGAACATAGGCCCTCCCCTCTGGGTTGGCAAGTCTCAGGTTAGTAGGAGGGGCCAAGGTATCGTCAACAGACAATAGCTATTTGTAATGCCATCAGATGGCCCCTCCTACTAACCTGAGACTGCCCAACCCAGAGGGTTCAGTCCAGGAGTATATTTGTGAGTATATTTTTTACAATTAATAAATTTTGGTTACTGAGGTAATGCGCAAGGTTGGTGCACTTCTCGTTTTCATTTCATTCAGCAGTACAGTTCAGAAGGTTTTAGAACAAGTACTTAATGTTTTCCTCCCCCTGGACCCACTACACTACCTCCTGGGCTTATCCTTTAAGGGTATCCATCTAAACAGTTGGGATTACACATTTTGACGGGCTGCTAGAAGGGTAATACCACGTTTTTGGAAGTTGATAGACACACCTTCCCAAAGTCATCTTATTGGGGCAATCTCTGAAATAAGGGAAATGGAATACCTCACGGCACTGGTGGGTGACCACTCTGGTATCTTCCATTCTATCTGGGGGGGTGTGGGACCATTCCCCTTTTGGTAGGTTCTCTCCTTCCCCCCCCCCTCCACATCCTCATCTACATGACCCACACCTCGTGTTGTAAGTGAATTGCCTTTGATTATTGTTGTTATTTTTCGTAGTTTGACGATATGCAGGTCTATAACGATTCATGTTCCTATAATTACTGAATGCCATGCTGTTTGTATATAACTGTACTTTTCTGTACGTTACTTTTTCTTTTCTTTCTTTTGAATTGATGATAGCCTTCTGTCATTGTACTGTTCACTTCTTTTTTTGTCTTATATACACATTGTATTCCTGTTGAAAAATGTGTACTTTTTAAAAATTGGGTTTCGTCCCTTAATAAAAAATATACAATATAACAAAAAAAGTTATACTCATACCCACAGTTGATCCAGAGGAAGGCAAAAGAACCAGCAAAGCATGATCCAATTTGCTCCTGCAGGGGAAAAAATTCCTTCCTAATCCCCTGAGAGGCAATCAGATATTCCCTGGATCAACTTTATCTATAAATGTTAGTATCCAGTTATATTCTGTGTATCCAAGAAAGAATCCAGGCCTTTTTTAAAGCAATCCACTGAGCTGGCCAGAGCCAACTCTTGAGGGAGTCTATTCCACATTCATTTTGTATAGGCTCCGGCTGTCCTGCAAAGGTATCAGTTTTAGGTATGAGAGCAGTTGATCGCATACAAGAACTTGTACAAATGCTTAGTATCAGCACCGATAACGATACTGGTATCGGTATTGGTGCAACCAGGGGCGGACTGACCATTTAGAAACTCGGGCACTGCCCGAGGGCCCGGGGTCAGTAGGGGGCCCCATGAGATACCTCTGGTACCTTTTTCATAGGCTTTTTTGAGTTTGGGCAAGGACACAGGGGCCCCATAATCCCCTATTGCCCGGGGGCCCCATGAGTTGTCAGTCCGCCCCTGGGTGCAACCCTAGTAAGTGCTAATTGTTTCCCATTCAATGCTTTACAATACAGTGCTCTACGAGAAGGAACATGCTCATGGAGTTATGTAACTTGTAGCCTTAGTTGTATGTGCGCTGACTTTCTTGCTTTACCATATGTAAGCCATGGCATTTTTCTATGTAATGAAAATAGAGAAAATTACCCGATGAACATCTAAATCTTTCTCCACATCCATCTTCTATAGGGCAACCCCTAGTGGGAACGCAAAGACGTTTTTCATAGGGGGTTCCACTGCACTCTATACCTCCAAACTGGGCGTAAACTTCAATTGTACGTGTTCGAGTCTGCACAGAAATAAACAAAGAAATGACCATGCTTTGTACTTGTAAAAATATATATTAGACATAAAAGTTTACATTTCACCTGACCCAGGATACATAGCATATCAGCTAAATATCTATAATCTAATATTCACCATCTGCTCCTTTTGTCCAGCCAGCTATATTCTTACAAATGCCAGTAACCCTATGGTACCTACAGTTCTGGATTTGGGTTTATTGTAACCAAACACACACATTACAGCATGAGAGGGAGGTTGCACAGTAGAGCCATGTGACAAAAAACAGGCCAGAAGAACAGTTAACTACAAGAATTTGCTTAAAAAAACTACTTCACTCTCTCAATCAACGTTGACTATTTTTAATCCTTATCCTGCTATTAATAAATAGATAGGAAAGTATATCTTATTTACTTGTTTTAAACTTTTTTTTTTTTTACATTTCTTCAGTTACCTTCTGGTTTCCAGGACTAGGTGAATGAGGTCATACATCCTAGGAGTCTTCAGGAGGGGAGGAGGGGTTTTCTCAGTTAAGTGCACCCTCCTGTCTGCACGCCTGAGCTAAGGGCAGATGGATTCCAGGAAGTAAATGCCACATAAATCATTTGTTCTTACTCAAAATGGCTACAGCCATAAGTGCTAGGGGGTGTTTTTCAAAGTGATTTCTTAGTATAATAAAGCATGGAGACATGGATGGATGGGGGAGATTGCTTTGAATAATAAAAATGAAATAAAAAACATTTTGTTTGTGGTGCTCAGATGTAGCGTAGTTCCTCTTTAAAGTGTATGTACACCCTAGGAATAAACTTCTGTCATTTGCTACCTTTGGTCTGTTAAGTATACAGGGATATGCAATTCATATCACTTGAAGCCAGGGACATGCAGTTCTGGGTACCGGGTAGGTAGGTTTTTTTTTTGCCTGTAGCCCTGCTGTCAGGTGGAAGAATTTGGGCGGCAGTGCTGCCGCCCAATTGCTTCCACACAGCTCACAGTGTCCACCTGCCCGCTATGTCTTAGACTCTGCTTACCCATCTGCAGGCCCGGGACTGGTTCAGTGGGTGCCCATGGTTCATGTGACCTCACTTCCGGGTCCCTGTTTGACAGATTCCCAGTCATTGAGGCCGGGAAAGAATGTAATGCAGTGCGATGTGCACTGCATTACATTTAGGGGAGCACAGGGGAGATATCCAGGGTCATTTAGACCATGGATGTCTCAAAAAAGAGAACCTGTCACCAAAAAATCATCACATAGGGGGACCTTTTGTCCCCTATGTGATATGAAAAAAAAGAAAGTTACGTAAAATATATATTTTTTTTTCTAAATTGAAGTTACACCCAAGCATATAACCCCCCCCCAAAAAAAAATTTTCAAGGCCCCCACCCCCACAAATGTAAAAGCACAAGCTGGGGCACCTACACATGAAAATTTTGATTGCGATACATGTTATTATCGCCGCGCACACCAGCATGAGAGCAATAAGTCTAGTAGCAGACCTCCTCAAGTTTGTTGCTGTTTCACGAGCAAATGTAAGGTTTGACATGTTGGATATCTATTTACTCGATGCAACCTTGTCTTTTATATTTTACAAAAAATTGGATCATTTATTGCTTTTCGTGCCCTAAAATTAACTTAAGTGGATTTTTTACTGGAATTTTGCATTTGCTAGACCTCTGTGATAATATCGTGCGACATAAAAAATGTAAACTACCACTATTTTATTCTCTAAGATCTCTGAATTCAGAAAATATATCATGTTTGGGGGTTTTGTGTCATCTTCAGGTCTTAAATTATTTTTTTAAATGTGTGCAAAAAACACAAAAACAGCATTGGCAGCGAAATGGATAAAGGAGAAGCCGGACACTCCCCTTTACTGACTGCCAATCGGGAGCTCATTACACTACAAGGTCTCTCTCCTGTCTGCTAGTCCCAGGGTGCGGTGCTGGAGACAGGCAGGAGGGGAGGAGGAGATAAACAGTACAATGTTAAAAATATTAAACGTTTACGTCGCCATAAAGCGCCTTTTGTTTTTAAAAGCCCCAGACATTACTTAAAGCAAATTTTAATACAGGTTTGGTTAAAATGTATGTTTTTTTTTTATCAGGACAATTACATTTTCATGAGAGACAAATAGATTGGGACACCGATTTAGTCCCTGGATATGTAGTTTTTTCAAAAATTTCCACACCCCTGGTATACCATTGAAAGTGTTGTATCAAACTTTATATCTGTTGGATAAGTGCAAAGAGTACCTGTTGCTCATGTCAAAAATGTAAAGTAGTAAATGACGGCTGGTCATGGACAAGCAAGATGAGAGATATTTGGGGAAAGCTGAGATGCTCTGTGAGCTCACTGAAGCACTGCCAGGCAAATGCAGGAGCTTGTAGCCAGTATCGCTCATTGTATACAGACCACCCATCTCTGTTATGTGTGGTGCTTGAGATCACTGGAGACTAGAAACGTCCGCTATCATAAATCCTGCAGACAAATATTGAGTGCAGTTGGTAAGAATGCCAACAATGTCCAGCCAACAAAGATCTACTAGCAATGAAGGGGCTAATTATGTACAACCAGCGAGACTCTGCTAGCAATAAAAGGGTTAATCACGTCTTAGGCTAGCCCATTGTAGGGCTTTTTATAGCTTGCTGAAAAAGAAAATTATTCTCTTTTATTATTATTATTATTATTATTATACAGTATTTATATAGCGCCAAAGGGTTTGCTCAGCGCTGTACAATAGCAAGGGGGACAGAACATGAGACAAGACAGAAACAATACAATACACGAGGGGTTCGAGGGCCCTGCTCTTTCGAGCTTACAGTCTAGGAGATTGTACTTAGACTTGTACTTGTAATTAGATTGTAATCTTTTACTTAAAATTAGCCTAGGGCCCAAGACATGAGAGGGGTTGCTATTCCTCTTTTGATCCAGGATCTACAGTACTTCCAATGACTAGAGAAACAAACCTGTTTTTTGGTGCAGCCATCACACTCTGACCATGGTCCATAGGGGCTCCATTTGCAATTCACTGCTGACTCTCCCCTGAAAAAACAAAATGCAGGGAATGACTTTGCAACATGTTTCTTCCTGTAAAGAAATACCAGCTTGGGTGCTATTTAGATCATATGTGGAGTCAATCTGTTTCATGATATGAATAGTTCTGACATAGTCATGCATCAAAGTAAAACTAGAAATATCTGTTGTGATGGAGTGTCTCTTTATAGATCGCTAAGGCATTACAGGTAGAATTTCGGCAAAGTCCCTACAGGACAGGAAGTTAGGAATCTCTTAGGGAGGGAACACAGACAAAAACACATTTTTAGTAAAGTGAGGATGGGTTTTATTAGGTTTTTTTACAAGAAGACGCTACATACTGTATACAGTATATTTGAGTTTAGAATGTATGCATACAGCACAGTGCAAGATTGTCTTCTCTCAACATTCCCCAAGATCTGGCCTGGAATAAAGGGAGGTGAAGGGTGAAGTAAGCATCTAATCTTTTCCCTCATTTGCATGTTCATCCAGTTTATTAGGGACTGGTAGGGAAAATCTTTAATATAAGTCCTTACAGGATGTCTCCAACTTACAAGCCGACCTCAATGCACTCAAGGCAACTATGTGGCAAATGAGGTTTAATGTTGATAAATGTAAGGTTCTGCACTTGGGGGCTAAGAATGTGCATGCATCATACATACTAGGGGGGGGTACAACTGGGGGAATCAATGGTGGAGAAGGATCTGGGGGTTCTGTTAGATCACAAGCTTAATAATGGCATGCAATGACAAGCTGTAGTTCTAAAGCGAGCAAAATCTTCTCTTGTATTAAAAAAGGTATAGACTCCAGAGAGAGAGATATCATATTACCCCGGTACAAATCATTAGTAAGACCTCATGTGGAATATGCTGTTCAGTTTTGGGTACCAATTCACAAAAAGAACATTGGGGAACTGGAGAATGTACAGAGAAGGGAAACCAAACTGATACGAGGCATGGAGGAGCTCAGCTATGAGGAAAGATTAGAGGAACTGAATTTATTCTCTCTTGAGAAGAGGAGATTAAGGGGGGATATGATCTCCATGTATAATACATAAGAGGGATATGATCAACATGTATAAATACATCAGTGGTTCATACAGTGAACTCGATGTAGAGTTATTAACCCTGAGGTCATCACAAGGACAGGGGGGCCCTCTTTACGTCTGGAGGAAAGAGATTTAATCTCCAAATACGGAAAGGTTTCTTCACAGTGAGAGCTGTGAAAATGTGGAATAGACTCCCTCAAGAGTTGGTTCTGGCCAGCTCAGTGGATTGCTTTAAAAAAGTCCTGGATTCTTTCTTGAATACACAGAATATAACTGGATACTAACATTTATAGGTAAAGTTGATCCAGGGAATGTCCAATTGCCTCTCGGGGGATCAGGAAGGAATTTTTTCTCCTGCAGGAGCAAATTGGATCATGCTTTGCTGTTTTTTTTTTTTACTTCCTCTGGATCAACTGTGGGTGTAGGATAAATTTTGATGGTTGAACTGGAAGGACTTTTGTCTTTTTTCAGCCAGACTAACTATGTAACTATGGTCCTTGCCACTGTAGAGCAAGATCTGCTTAACAAATCTCAAGCTATGGATTATCATGATACAATTTTTGGGTTTCTGGGCAGAGTTCGCAGAAAAGGATGTTGAAAAACTGGAGAGAGTGCAAAGAAGGGCAACTAACTAAAGGGACATGGAAGACTCATGCTATGAAAATATTGAGTGAATTTCCATTGGAAGAGGTGATTAATATGTCCTGGTCCTGATCATCATGTTTAACTACATAAATGGCCCATATGGTAAATTTGGTGCAACGTTATTCACACTAAAGCAGTGTTAACCCCAAAAGCATATGTTTATTATATTGCAGCTTACCAATTCTTAGATGTGATGACTGCATTAGTTTCCTTTTTGAGGCTTTTTTTCTGTTTTCATCTGGTGAACCAGCCAGCAAGTTTGTTGTTTTTCAAAAACACAGTTTGTAGGCAGGTGCAGTCTGTTTTCTACACTGTAGGTGGCGCTCGACTTGAGTGGTACCACAGCCTGGAAAAATATTTTCGCTATGGTTTCCTGGGTCAGTTTCCTACGCGGCAGCCATGTGACCCTTGGCGGCTATCTTTGGTCAGAAAGGTCCTTATAAGTCCCTGCCCCTGGGTTTTGGCATGCATTTTGTGAGTGGCTAGTGTAGGAAGAGAGACCCTGTTTGTTCGGGACAGCAACTACCGGTAGGGAGAGGTTCCAGACAAGAATGTACAGGCTAAAGACTTGCTAACCTGGAAAGAAGTCTCCCCACTTGGGACCGGATTGGCCAGGTTTCACTTCCACCTCTGAAACAGACACTGTCTGCACCTCTCCCCAGCCACATCTTTGATTGCATTGAACTGTGAGTTGTTTCCCCTAAGAGGCGCTTTCCTGCTGGGGGGGTTGTAACTCTAGCATTCTGTTCAATACAAGTTTCAAATCTTGTTGGAGCTGGAAACTCTTTCCAGCAGAATGTATCAGTTTATATAGATGAGACCAGCCACTTAACACTGGCAGGGGTGCTTAAAATGATCAGCTTTTTTTTATTCATGTAAAACCTTTATTCCAAAAGGAAAAAAAAACTATTTGCTGTAACTGATTATAAAGTGTGAGCTAGAGTTTGGCTTAATTTTATTAGTGGTTCTAAATCTTCTAATACATTTATCACTACCTTTCCCCCAGAGACTGACAATGCTGCTGTCTGCTGTGCCCCCTGTACTCAGTCCTCCACAGTTGTGTCTCACTAATACAAGAGGTGTCACTGGCCAGATCACCAGGTGAAAATAGAAGAAAGAAAGCCAAAAGAAAAAAAATGAATGCAGCCACCATGTCTAAAGATTATTAATACATTTTTGGTTGTAGGTTTAATACTGTTTTAACCATTTGCTCTCCAGAGGATTTACCCCCCTTCCTGACAAGACCATTTTTTACAATATGGCACAGTGTTACTTTAACTGACTATTGCATGGTCATGCAATGCTGCACCCAAATTAAATTTACGTCCTTTTTTCCCACAAATAGAGCTATCTTTTGGTGGTATTTGATCCCCTGTGCTTTTTTATTTTTTGCGCTATAAACAAAAAAAGACCAACAATTTTGAGAAAATAACAATATTTTTGACTTTTTGCTATTAAACATGTCCAATAAAAAATGTAACATTTTGTCATAAATTTAGGCCAAAATGTATTCTGCTACATGTGTTTGCTAAAAAAAAAATCCTGATACGTGTAAATTAATTGGTTTACGTGAAAGTTATAGCGTTTACAAATGGCGGTATATATACTGTATTTTTGTTTTGTTTTACTAGTAATGGCGGAGATCAGTGACTTATAGCAGGACTGCGGCGGGCATTCTGACACTGAGGGGAACTGACTTGGTGTCACTGACATCCCCAGTGACACTAATACAGTGATCAGTGATAATAAAAAGCACTGACATTGTACTAATAGCACCGGGCAGGAAGGGGATTAACATATGGGGTGATCAAAGGGGGTAACTGTGTGCTCTTTTACTATGTGGGCTGTGTTTCACTGTAAGCACACTGCTTTGCATGGCTGTGCTATGCAAAGCCATACAAATCAGTGTGCAGAAGCTGACAAGGGAGTGATTTGTGGTGTTTATACACAAGTCTCTCCACCGCTGGGGGTTGCAGCAAGAATTTTACCGGTGGGGCCCGTGGGGAACGCCAAATGGCGGCATGGGTAGGGCACAAGCTCCCTACCTGGAACTGCAAAATAACGTATTTATACGTGATTTTGTGCACCCGTGCCACCCTGTAGCGGTAATTCTGCTATAGAGCGGCACGTAAGCGGTTAAGGTCATTGAAAATGACAAAAGGGGCACTATTTGTGAACAGGAGAATTTAGCCTTCAGAAATGACAAGATGAAGAAGAAAAAGCGCCTCTAAGTGCAGTATAAGGACATTTATTCCGGAACAATGGAAAATCACTCACATGGTAAAAGTATAAAAAAAAGCTCATCAGTGTATTGAAGTGTCAAGATGAAGTCCTCGCTGAGTGAGCCACAGTCCGCGCTTAAGGGAGACTGTAGATGGAGAGAGCCGGTCAGCAATAATGAAGTGAATACCTCTGTTAGATTCATCACCAGATTTCACCAGCAATATCGCAAAATGGAAGGCATTAGCCATAAACATTGATCTATTCTACTTCAAGACCCCCATTTGCAGGATGTTATAGATAAAAAAAAACAGCTTCACCTATAGGAAGGCTCCTAGTCTCAAGAATAAATTAGCCCCTAGCAAATACAATCATCCTTCCCTTACTAATAACCCCCTCTGTTTACTACCTTTAAAGGACATGTATCAATGTAAACAGGCATTATGCAAGACCTGCAAATTTGTAGAGCATGGACAAAAAACCTTTCCCATCAAGGGTAAAACGTATATTTTCAGTGGTTTTTACAACTGTTCTACTGATTATGTAGTATATTGTCTGAGTTGCCCTTGCAGCCTATTATATATAGGCTGAACCATCAGACCACTGTGTGCTGGATTTGGTGGACACCGCAGACTCGTTAAAGACGGTAAGGACAAACACAGTATCCCCCATCAGAAATCCACAACAGCTTTAAAAGTTTGGATTATAGAAGCCATACCTAAACATATTTTTGAATCTAAACGTTTTCTAAAGTTATGCTCCCAAGAAACATACTGGATTTTTATGATGGACACATTATCCTCAAGTGGACTCAATGAAGAATTAGATGTTAGCACCAATATGCTCTTGTCTTTCCATTATCCCTCGTTTTACAAATCACCAAATCATCATAATTTATCACTATTACTATTATTATTATTTATTTATCATTATTCTTATTCTTATTATTATATTACCATTACTTTCAGTTACTACATATCATCATTTTCCAATATATTGCATTTTTAATTATAGTTATATTTACCATCAGCATTTGATGTAAATATAGTAACAAATGTATTCAACATGTATGCATATTTTATGCATATATATTTTA